TTATTATATCTTGTTCTAACTCTACTCATATTGAAGCTAGCTGACATTATCACAGCTATTTATCACAGCTATTTATCACAGCTATTTATCACAGCTATTTATCACAGCTATTTATCACAGGTATTTATCACAGCTATATATTACAGCTCCATGCTAACAATGTCAATAGGGTGTGTCTAGTGAGGTAGATTTAGCCACAGGTATTTAGATGGACTAGCGTCACAATCAGGATTGTAATGGATGAGCGCCCTGCCCTCAATATCAATACTACATGACATCTCCAAGGTATACCAAAAGCTAAGTATAAGAATACTTAAGCAAGTACTCTTTGTGTAGTATAATATATATAGTGCCAGCCAGCTAGCTTTGCCTCTAGCTAATGTAAACTAGTTTGCTCCACAGCTTTGCTGTGTGCAGAGTTGTTACAAGGATCCTGCACAGGCCACAATTAAATTGATTAGGGTCTAATTGGAAAAGGACTAGAAGGTGGGTTCAGGTGGGTTAAGGTACTAGTGGAATTGACTATGAAGAGAGAGCTGTTTTGTCTGTTTGATTGAGCATGTGGACAGAGCTGTTGTCCTTCAAATTGACCGTGTGGACAGAGCCGTTGTCCAGTCAATTGACTGGATGGGGAGAGCTGTTGACCTCTCAATTGACCATATGAGAGCTGTTGTCCTGCCAATTGACCATGAGAAGAAAGCCATTGCCCTGTTGATTGAGTGTGTGAGAGTGCTGTTGCCCTGTTGATTGAGTGTGTGAGAGTGCTGTTGCCCTGTTGATTGACCATGTCGAGAGAGCTGCCGATTGACCATGTCAGAGAGCTGTTGTCCTGTTGATTGACCATGAAGAGAGAGCCGTTGCACTTTCAATTGAGCATGTGAGAGAGCATTGTCCGGCCAATTGACTGTGAGGAGAGAGCTATTGCACTGTCAATTGAGCGTGTGAGAACTGGTTGGGAGTGCAAAATTGCTGTTCATGTATCATAATTGGGTAGGTGATGTTATCACAGCTCTTTATCACAGCTCCATGCTGACAATGTTGGTAGGGTGGGGCCAGTAGAGCCAGGGTATGGCTAGTGAGTACTCATGGGTCATATTGGGTAAGAACAGATTGGGGTGAGATTCACGTGTCCTCTTGGGTAGGTGCAGTTCCACATCTGCCAGATGTGGAACTGCAGGTGCACAGACCATGCACAGACCACTACTAGCACAGACATTCTTGGCGCAGTTCCACATCTGGCAGATGCGGAACTGCAGGTGAACATCATCTCTTTGGTGGTGTCTGTTGTGTGCCTGCTCTTGCTCTGCATGGTCTTGGTGGGTACATCCATGGAAGTAGCAAAGTTGCCTTGTAAGTTTAGAAGCAGTGCTCTCAACTGACTCTGTCTGGGTTGTTGTGTCAGCAGAAGAGTGATGTTCTGGCTGAGTTACACTACCAACAGAAGGCTGACTGCCTA